GTTACTGTTTCCAATTTAGGCTGGGAAGGGGGCCCGGACAAGGACCGATGGGCCATCGGGGCTCCAGATAGATCAGAAAAGTCTCAGTTTTGGGCGCTAGGAGCGGGATGACCTTTGCAAAACAGGGCTAAACCAATACTCAGTTACCAGTGGAACCCTTTTTCCCGTTTTTTTTTGGTGGCTGCCCCACTAAACATGGTCCAAGCCCCAAAAAGGGTTCCCTTTTTTTTCCAGGGTCACTGAACAATGAGAATAGAAGTGATTTGTGCGTGGGAAGCTTTTCTATTCTCGAGGTTGATTGACCCGAGACCGCGCCGCCGCCATTTTCGTGGAAGATTGGAGCGGAGTTGTCGATGCGAATCACAAAGGGTGAAACCACGCGAGCAAGCGCTAAGGCCTTGGCTTCGTCATGTAACTGCCTGCCAATTTCATGGTGGTTGTTGGGAAACATTTTACGTATTGTTGCTTATTGTGGTTTAGTGGTTGAAATCCAAATCTACTTAGCTGCTAAACATTGAGAATGTTTGCTCCCCTTCCAACGTCAACCAAGAAATTTCATGAAGCCTTCACCTTGCACTTTGTGAGGTTCAACGCGCCAACCGACCCGCATTTGCTGAAATGAATATGATTTTTATTTCCCAGGGCTCCTTAAAAGATCTCCATTTTGCAGCCATTTGAAACATGTTGCTTTTTCAACACCAAAATAAAGGGAAACCACCATTTACAAGGCAATGTTCAGGAGTATAATGTAAGGATCCCTGTTTCCCCTGTTGGTTTTAAAGGGACTCTATCACTACTGGAAAGACATATTTTTTCCAGGGGGCGAAGAAGCAAATGGAAGTAATAGGTGACCGCTTTTGTGAGGATTCCCCAGTCGAAAAGCAATTCCGTGCTAGGCTCGCCGCCGTGAGTCAAGGCGTGGAGTGTTGCAGTCGAACGATGCGCGGATCTCGTTTGAAACGATGCTAAGGTTCATGAACTCGCTTTTTGCATTTCTGGTTTGTATTACATTTAGGTGTGGCTCAAAATTTAACTGGCATGGCGCAGGTCTTAGTCTTTGGGTCCATTTGCCAAGGTGCCATTTTAGCAATTGCATGTTTTTGACCGCCATTTAAGGGTCCGCTATTTCAGGGGTAAGAAGTTTAGAGTCGGCCAATTCACAGTGAATTGAGAGCTCTACATGGTTGTTGGGACACAATTTACGTATTTTTGCTTCTTGTGGTTTAGTGGTTGAACACCAATTCCACTTAGCTGCTAAAATTTGCTCGAATTTTTGCTGCCCTTCCACCCACCGTCAACCGAGTCTAAGGAACGAACCCATCCCCCGGACCCGCGGGGTTGGGATCGATCCGAAGGAAGCGAAAGAGAGTTGTGCTGAAGTACCTCCTGAGGATGGCTTTTGGGGCGTAAAAAGGGGTCGTTCAGTACCTCCTTAGAAGGTACTTCTCTTTTTTCCCAGGGCTCCTTGAAAAAGAAATCGCCATTTTGCAACCACCCATTTGAGTTACATGTGGCGCCCTTTCAACACCAAAATCAAGTTGAGTTACATGTGGCTTTTTCAACACCAAAATAAATTTGAGTTACAGGTGGCTTTTCCACACCAAAATACAGTTAGAAACCAGCATTTACAAGTTGCAATGTTCAGGTGTATAATGTAAGGATCCCTGTCAAGCATCTGACTTTGGGCCGGGAGCAATAGCTGAGGCGGGTGAATGCCTGATATCATATCTCGGGCTTTCTGCAGTCATGCTGGGCGCTAAAAAAGGACGTGGTTGTTTTTTGTCCAAGAATGGAGCTTTGTCTTATGATTCCGCCGATTTCCCCTAATTGAAACCTGTACACAGCATGGTTTGGGGTTGGGCATTGGCTTACGTAAGGCGTGCAAGCCGAGAGGGGCTGCGGGTTGAAACCATCACCGGAAATGCGGGTCTTGGGATCATGTTATCCTTCACTTTGTTTAGAGTTACACAACATCAAAACAAAAACACACAACAAACATGGTTTTTCGGGGGTTGTGATTTTATGGAGAAAAACTGGACTGACATGGACCGACATGGACTGACCATGTTCCATGCGTCCCTTTTGCTGAGAGAAGAAGTGGTGCCCATGGACATTCTGAATTGCTTGCTGGTGCTCAGCAGGGAATCAGGAAAGTTAATGACCCCTATAACCATCCACTGTGGTTTCCTTTAAGGGAATCCTCAGGTTCGTTCCCACATTCCCTACTGAGCACCACCAAGAGTTGGTTCAGATCTGACGTTATCTTGTTATGTTTTCCACTTTGTCTTTTTAGACGCGCCGCTGTGTTTACGTTTTAGCTTCAGAAGCCGAAATCTCCGGCTGTTGTTTGCTGCCATGTCTTGAAAAGAAGGGGCTTGGAAAGTTTTGGAACTCCCGAGCCAGATGTATTTGAAGATAGCGGTATGCGCCGCCCGCCGCCCTCGCGCTTGCAAACATAAATCCGAAGCCTCTCACGAGGTTTCAGCGTTTCCATTTTGTCAGGGCTTGTTCTCCTTGACAGGGGTGCGTGGTGTTTTGAGGGTACCCTGTCTGATGGATAGAGGACAACCACATTCGGAAACCGCCTGCTTGGGTTCCCTTTTGAGACAAACCCACTCGCAGGATCCAACCAACGTGGGTTCCGATGCAGGCTTCGTAGTTCGGCAGGGTACTGCAGTCTGTTGACGCAGATTGGGTGTGGCTCAAAATTAAAGGGCCGGGGTTATGCAGGTGTTAGTCTCCGGTTCCTTTTACCCAGGTGCCATTTTGCATGTCTAGTGAATTTAGTGCATGCCCCACTAGAGTTGCCGATGCTTCGGGGGACCTTGTGATTCGATTTCGGCCAACCCTGCAGCCGGGTTGGCACGTGTAATTGGCATGTTTTGACGGTTCCCAGTGATTCCGTTTTCCAGAGGGAAACCACATAAGAGACACTGGCAAAAGAACGCGCTTGCTTCGCAAATGGTACTGGGGCTTAGATGCATAAGAACTATTTAGGCCGAGGTAGGTCGCCCTGAAATGGCTGTGGGTCAATAATAGGTGCCCAAAATGGAACCCTGATAAGTGGCAACATGGACCAAAACCTGTGGTCCCCTGGTGGTTTAATTTTGACCCACACCCAAATGGTGGGCTTCCTTCTGGTTTCCCTTCAAGCCATGCGGCGCCAACATCCGTGGCTGAAGCTTCCTGGCTCGGATTCGCGGTTTCGCCAAGGGAGACGTCCGAACACGCAGCAAGACAAAAACTTGGATCAACAGCAACCCACAGCTGCTTGGGATTTTTTATGCCGTATAATCTAGAGCTAGGTCCCCCAGTAGTGCCCTTTTACCTTTTCTTTTTTGGTCGGGAGGGTTCCCCTACTACAATAGACTACAAAAAACAAGTTGGCTCATTCATTCTAATTCTGTTTTGGAGGACCTAGAGAGATGAACATCAGGATGAATGATTTCTTTGTTACCGCACTAGCTCTTCCCAGCGTACATTGTGTCACATCCTGGTTCATGGGCTCAGCTGACTTGAGCAAATAGCTTGTCTTAGCTGACTTGCCAGTGTTCCTCATGGCACAACTTACAAGCCCGACTCGGTATACAAATCAATGAAGTCCCCTTGCGGATTCCCAGATTCTAGTATGTCATTTGCCCACATGTTGGCAAGTTGGACGCGCAAAGCCTGGGACACTTAGCCCACACCACATCAACTATGTCCACAGACGAGAGCGCGGCTCTCAGATGTGTCAGCTGGCTGGGTGCCGTGCTTGGGCGCAAGTCAGTGGTGCTTCCCAAAAGAGGAACTGGGTAGCCCTTTGGGCTGGGCCCTTCAAAATCAAAATCCTTCCTTATGCATCCTTATGCCAGAAACGTGGCTTCCCTTGTTCTGGCCGGTGTCCCACCGAAAATCGGATTCACGATCCCTCAGTTTGAAGCACCCAGTTAGGGTGTTTGTTTGGCTGTGACTGTTATAGGCACGCACCTCAAAAGTGTTGGACATGAGTCCCAACTTAATGCCCACCCTTTCGGGTCCCCCTTTAGAATTCGCGCCCATGTTATGTTGTGTTGGTTGCTGGTTGGGTTGACCTTAAAGCTTCGGGAAACATCAGGGTTTCTCGCAACATCGAAGATGGACCCCAAATTCCCAAACTGATTGCTGGTCTTTTGGGAAGCCTCTACACCACACCCACCATCTTTCGGGCAACCAGATTCAGAAACAACCTGTGAGACTCGCTAAAGAGTTGCACTTTCAGAGAAAAGTTGCTCCCTTGGTTATTCTGGTTGTTGAAATGTTTGTTTTGGCCAGACTGTGCTCACCTTCAAATGTATGCTCAAGCCCTTTTGGTGTTCCATGATTTCCCTGGAGAAAAGCTAAAACGTTTTGCAGGGGCCTAAGTCTGATTTAGTCTTGGGAACCAGTTTCGTCAAAGTTTGCAAGCTTTCGCCGTGTGAGTCCGATTTGTGTTTTCTGGATGTTGAGCCCCGGCGCGAGCCGTCTTTGGGAAAACCATGTTAGTCTCACTTGTCCTTTTGACCCGTTCCTTGCTGGTGCGACAGGCAGAACCCAGGAAATGGTCCACTGAAAGGAAACCACCAGTTGGATGGTTTATAAGGGTCATTCGGTGTCTCATTCCCTGCCTATCGCTTCAGCAAGTTTTGTTCTTCCCCCTTTGGTCTTGTTTTAGTCAAGATTCCAAAAGGTGTTTGTTTACTTCCCGGGAATTTGGGTAAGCGAGTAGTGGCCAAGAAACAGTCCAGACTTTGTTTGCCCACTCAGGCAGTGCTCGAAGAAGCCACCGGACCCAAAAGTGTTGAACATCGTCGTCAAGGCCTGAAGATTCTCGGGGGTTATATAGCTATAAACACCCTCAGGAACACCTGGCAGTTCGCAAAAAAAGCCGGTTGAAAGGAATTGGACAGCTACCGACCATCCCCCAAGTGGTTCAACCCTCGTGTCTAATGTCTTTCTCACTCGAATTGCTGGACTTAAACGACTTCTTTTGGGTTTGGGCCATGTTAGTGGTAAACATGTTTTTCTCACTCGAGTTGATGGACATGAGCCTTTTTGTTGATGTTTAGCCCATTTTTAGTATACAAAGAGTGCGGGGGTACTTTCTTTGGCAATCCACTGGCTTGGACGTGGGCGTCTGACTAAACAACGCCCCCTATGGGATCAGCTTCCGAGGCCTCTCGCTGGATCAGCTTCTGCCTCGCCTCAGCGCAGCTCCCGGAAGAAGGGCTCGGGGGGGGTGGGGGGGAGCGTGGGGGGAGGGGGCTCGGGGTGGGGGCAGGTGTGGGGGGGAGGGGGGGGGAGGGGGCAACCCTAAACCCTAAACCCTAAACCCTAGGGTTTAGGGCAGAAAAGGGGGGGGGGTGTGGTGTGGAGAGGGGAGCGGGGGGTTGGCAGGTCTGGCCAGAGGACATGTCGACGATTCGGGAGGTGACAGGAGTGCCCCAGGTCAGGGATTCCGGATTCCATAGCTTAACAGGGCTCCTTAAAAGAAACTCATTTTGCAACCATTTGAAACATGTTGTTTTTTCAACACCAACATAAAGGGAAACCACCATTTGCAGGTTGCAATGTTCTGGTGTATAATGTAAGGATCCCTGATGAAGTATGGCAAAGTACTCAAAATGGTGGAATAAGCCGGAAGGAACTGACTTTGGCATGGAAATGGCGCCCTTTGTGGACATGTACACGAGGATCTATAGTGACGGACATACACTTAGAAACAGTTTTGGTTTCCAAAATTTCCGACAAACACTTAGAAACGAAAAAAATAAAAACAGTAAATTCAACACTTAGAAACGGTTCGGCCGACCAACACTTAGAAACCTTTTCTTCGCCTTTATGGCGATTCTGATGCATATTACCAGCCGTCAAAAACTTAGAAACGTTTCTAAGTGTTGCCCGAGAGGTACCTGCGGCTTCTAAGCATTGGTCACGGGCGTTGCCCCGAGAGAGAAAAGAGCCGACCATGCAAGAAAAAAACAGCGGAACTAACTATATATATATACACAATGAATCAGGCACACAGCACACATGATAGACTTAAGAGATCTTCGGGCAGCCAGACAAAAGACAACCTACAAATCACGAAAAAACAACGAGTTTACCAAAAAAAGGATAAACAAATGACGAGATGATGAAACAATGATGAACCAATATGAGCACAGTATGCAAATGATGAAACAATGAACAATGATAAACAAATTATGATTTGCTGGCATTTTTTGTTTTCAGAACTTCCCATGAACATCATCTGTTTTTCATCATGTGTTCATCCCTCCCTTGTTTCAACAGAAAACAACAGGAAAAAACTGCGCGACACCGTGGACAATAATGAAACAAATCATAAGGTTAATGAAACGGTTTCGTGGGGTTGCCGGAAGCTTGAAATCAGCTGGGGGCGAACAAATAGAAACGGTTTTTTCAACCCGCTTCTTTTTTCAGAATCTACCAATTGGACTTGTTTGTGGGTATACATGCCCAATACTCCATACATGTCAGCACTGTGTGAGCAAGGCATGATCTACTTACACAAACACACATATATTTATATATGTACAGACCTTCGTCATGGGGGGATCGCTGCTTTCTTGGGGTTGCCGGAAGCTTGAAATCAGCTGGGGGCGAACAAATAGAAACGGTTTTTTCAACCCGCTTCTTTTTTGAGAATCTACCAATTGGACTTGTTTGTGGGTATACATGCCCAATACTCCATACATGTCAGCACTGTGTGAGCAAGGCATGATCTACTTACACAAACACACATATATTTATATATGTACAGACCTTCGTCATGGGGGGATCGCTGCTTTCTTGGGGTTGCCGGAAGCTTGAAATCAGCTGGGGGTGAACACTTAGAAACGCCTCCCCCAACTCCCCCCCCCTCAGAGTCTACCAATTGGACTTGTTTGTGGGTATACATGACCAATACTCCATACATGTCAGCACTGTGTGAGCAAGGCATGATCTACTTACACAAACACACACATATATATATATATATAGACCTTCATCCTGGAAGCATTGGTGCTTTCTTGGGGTTGCCGGAGGCTTGAAATCAGCTGGGGGTGAACACTTAGAAACGCCTCCCCCAACCCCCCCCCCCTCAGAGTCTACCAATTGGACTTGTTTGTGGGTATACATGACCAATACTCCATACATGTCAGCACTGTGTGAGCAAGGCATGATCTACTTACACAAACACACACATATTCATATATATATATAGACCTTCATCCTGGGAGCAATCGGTGCTTTCTTGGGGTTGCCGGAGGCTTGAAATCAGCTGGGGGTGAACACAGAAACGCCTCCCCGAACCCCCGTGACCAGTACTCCATACATGTCAGCACTGTGTGAGCAAGGCATGATCTACTTACACAAACACACACACATATTTTTATACATGTACAGACCTTCGTCATGGGGGGATCGCTGCTTTCTTGGGGTTGCCGGAAGCTTGAAATCAGCTGGGGGTGAACACTTAGAAACGCCTCCCCCAACCCCCCCCCCCCCCAGAGTCTACCAATTTGACTTGTTTGTGGGTATACATGACCAATACTCCATACATGTCAGCACTGTGTGAGCAAGGCATGATCTACTTACACAAACACACACATATTTATATATATATATAGACCTTCATCCTGGGAGCATCGGTGCTTTCTTGGGGTTGCCGGAGGCTTGAAATCAGCTGGGGGTGAACACTTAGAAACGCCTCCCCGAACCCCCGTGACCAGTACTCCATACATGTCAGCACTGTGTGAGCAAGGCATGATCTACTTACACAAACACACACATATTCATATATATATATATATAGACCTTCATCCTGGGAGCATCGGTGCTCTCTTGGGGTTGCCAGAAGCTTGAAATCAGCTGGGGGTGAACACTTAGAAACGCCTCCCCCAACCCCTCCCCAGAGTCTGCCAATTGGACTTGTTTGTGTGTATACATGACCAATCCTCCAGACATGTCAGCACTGTGTGAGCAAGGCATGATCTACTTACACACACATATATATATATATATAGATATATATTTCTCGGGGCATCGGTGCTTTCTTGGGGTTGCCGGAGGCTTGAAATCAGCTGGGGGTGAACACAGAAACGCCTCCCCGAACCCCCGTGACCAGTACTCCATACATGTCAGCACTGTGTGAGCAAGGCATGATCTACTTACACAAACACACACACACAATATATATTTATACATGTACAGACCTTCGTCATGGGGGGATCGCTGCTTTCTTGGGGTTGCCGGAAGCTTGAAATCAGCTGGGGGTGAACACTTAGAAACGCCTCCCCCAACCCCCCCCCCCCCAGAGTCTACCAATTTGACTTGTTTGTGGTATACATGACCAAGTACTCCATACATGTCAGCACTGTGTGAGCAAGGCATGATCTACTTACACAAACACACACATATTCATATATATATATATAGACCTTCATCCTGGGAGCATCGGTGCTTTCTTGGGGTTGCCGGAGGCTTGAAATCAGCTGGGGGTGAACACTTAGAAACGCCTCCCTGAACCCCCGTGACCAGTTCTCCGTACATGTCAGCACTGTGTGAGCAAGGCATGATCTACTTACACAAAACACACACACATATATTTATACATGTACAGACCTTCGTGATGGGGGGATCGCTGTTTTCTTGGGGTTGCCGGAAGCTTGAAATCAGCTGGGGGTGAACACTTAGAAACGCCTCCCCCAAACCCCCCCCCCCCAGAGTCTACCAATTGGACTTGTTTGTGGGTATACATGACCAATACTCCATACATGTCAGCACTGCGTGAGCAAGGCATGATCTACTTACACAAAACACACACATATATTATATATATATATAGACCTTCATCCTGGGAGCATCGGTGCTTTCTTGGGGTTGCCGGAGGCTTGAAATCAGCTGGGGGTGAACACAGAAACGCCTCCCCGAACCCCCGTGACCAGTACTCCATACATGTCAGCACTGTGTGAGCAAGGCATGATCTACTTACACAAACACACACACACACATATTTATACATGTACAGACCTTCGTCATGGGGGGATCGCTGCTTTCTTGGGGTTGCCGGAAGCTTGAAATCAGCTGGGGGTGAACACTTAGAAACGCCTCCCCCAACCCCTCCCCAGAGTCTACCAATTGGACTTGTTTGTGTGTATACATGACCAATCCTCCAGACATGTCAGCACTGTGTGAGCAAGGCATGATCTACTTACACACACATATTTATATATATATATAGATATATTTTTCTCGGGGCATCGGTGCTTTCTTGGGGTTGCCGGAGGCTTGAAATCAGCTGGGCGTGAACCACACCCCGTCCCCAGATTCTACCAATGGGGCTTGTCTGTGCATGCGCATGACCAATACTACATATATGTCAGTGCGTGTGTGAGCAAGGCATGATGTATTTACATACACGCATACGTACGGAAGCCTGAAATCAGCCGGGCGGTGAATACTTAGAAACACCCCCCCCCCCCGCCCGGATTCAACCACTTGGGCTTGTACGTGTGTATATATTACATGACCAATACTCCATGTAGGTCAGCACCTATGTGAGCAAGGCATGATCTACTTACATACACATATGTATATAATTATATATATATATATATCTTCGTCCCCGGGGCATCGGTGTTTTCTTTAGGGTTGCCGGAAGCTTGGAAGATTGAAATTAGTTGGGCGGTGAACACTTAGAAACGCCTCCCCCAACAGAGTCTACCAATTGGACTTGTTTGTGTGTATACATGACCAATACTCCATTCATGTCAGCACTGTGTCAGCAAGGCATGATCTACTTACACACACACACACATATATATATATATACACATCCTGGGGGCATCGGTGCTTTCTTGGGGTTGCCGGAAGCTTGAAATCAGCTGGGGGTGAACACTTAGAAACGCCTCCCCCAACACCCCCACCCCAGAGTCTACCAATATACATGATCAATCCTCCCCATGTCACACTTCCTTGGGGTTGCCGGAAGCTTGACATCAGCTGGGAGGAAACGCCTCCCCCAACCCCCCCCCCAGAGTATAGCAATTGGACTTGTTTGTGTATACATGACCAATACTCCACACATGTCAGCACGTGTGTGAGCAAGGCATGATCTACTTACACAACACACACATATATTTATACATGTACAGACCTTCGTCATGGGGGGATCGCTGCTTCTTGGGGTTGCCGGAAGCTTGAAATCAGCTGGGGTGAACACTTAGAAACGCCCTCCCCCAACCCCCCCCCCCCCAGAGTCTACCAATTGGACTTGTTTGTGGGTATACATGACCAATACTCCATACATGTCAGCACTGCGTGAGCAAGGCATGATCTACTTACACAAACACACACATATTTATATATATATATATAGACCTTCATCCTGGGAGCATCGGTGCTTTCTTGGGGTTGCCGGAGGCTTGAAATCAGCTGGGGGTGAACACAGAAACGCCTCCCCGAACCCCCGTGACCAGTACTCCACACATGTCAGCACTGTGTGAGCAAGGCATGATCTACTTACACAAACACACACACACATATTTATACATGTACAGACCTTCGTCATGGGGGGATCGCTGCTTTCTTGGGGTTGCCGGAAGCTTGAAATCAGCTGGGGGTGAACACTTAGAAACGCCTCCCCCAACCCCTCCCCAGAGTCTACCAATTGGACTTGTTTGTGTGTGTACATGACCAATCCTCCAGACATGTCAGCACTGTGTGAGCAAGGCATGATCTACTTACACACACACACATATATATATATATATATATTTTTCTCGGGGCATCGGTGCTTTCTTGGGGTTGCCGGAGGCTTGAAATCAGCTGGGCGTGAACCACACCCCCCGCCCCAGATTCTACCAATGGGGCTTGTCTGTGCATGCGCATGACCAATACTACATATATGTCAGTGCGTGTGTGAGCAAGGCATGATGTATTTACATACACGCATACGTACGGAAGCCTGAAATCAGCCGGGCGGTGAATACTTAGAAACACCCCCCCCCCGCCCGGATTCAACCACTTGGGCTTGTACGCCCCCCCAGACTACCAATTGGACTTGTTTGTGTGTATACATGACCAATACTCCACACATGTCAGCAGGTGTGTGAGCAAGGCATGATCTACTTACACAAACGCACACACGCACACGTTTATACATATGTGTATATATGGGCCTTCATCCTGGGAGCATCGGTGCTTTCTTGAGGTTGCCGGAAGCTTGAAATCAGCTGGGGGTGAACACTTAGAAACGCCTCCCCCAACCCCCCCCCCCCCCCCCCCAAGAGTCTACCAATTGGACTTGTTTGTGTGTATACATGACCAATACTTCATACATGTCAGCACGTGTGTGAGCAAGGCATGATCTACTTACAAAAACACACAAACACACACATAGTTATATATATATAGACGTTCGTCATGGGGGCATCGCTGCTTTCTTGGGGTTGCCGGAAGCTTGAAATCAGCTGAGGGTGAACACTTAGAAACGCCTCCCCCAACCCCCCCCCCCAGAGTCTACCAATTGGACTTGTTTGTGTGTACACATGACCAGTGCTCCATACATGTCAGCACTGTGTGAGCAAGGCATGATCTACTTACACAAACGCACACATATTTATTTGTATATGTATATATATACAAACCTTCGTCATGGGGGCATCGGTGCTTTCTTGGGGTTGCCGGAAGCTTGAAACCAGCTGGGGGTGAACACTTAGAAACGCCTCCCCCCCCCTTTTCAGAGTCTACCAACTGGACTTGTTTGTGTGTTTTCATGACCAATCCTCCATACATGTCAGCACGTGTGTGAGCAAGGCATGATCTACTTACACAAACACACACACACATATCTATATATAAATGTATATATATATATATATAGACCTTCGTCATGGGGGGATCGCTGTTTTCTTGGGGTTGCCGGAAGCTTGAAATCAGCTGGGGGTGAACACTTAGAAACGCCCCCCACCCTCCCCCCCCGCCCCAGATTCTACCAATGGGGCTTGTCTGTGTATGTGCATGACCAAAAATTCCTATATGTCAGTGCGTTTGCGAGCAAGGCATGATTTACTTACATACAACACATACTTACATATATATATATATGTATATATATATATATGTATATAGATAGACCTTCCTCCTCGGGGCATCGGTGCTTTCTTGGGGTTGCCGGAAGCTTGAAATCAGCTGGGGGTGAACACTTAGAAACGCCTCCCCCAACCCCCCCCCCCAAGAGTCGACCAATTGGACTTGTTTGTGTGTATACATGACCAATCCTCCATACATGTCAGCACGTGTGTGAGCAAGGTGGGGCCATCAAACAAGGCGTGAAACACATGAACGATCATAAACAGCTGTCGGGCTAGTGCTGCAAACCGTTTCTAAGTGTTGAAAACAGTTTCTAAGTGTTGAAAACCATTTCTAAGTGTTGAATTGGGTTGTAGCAGTCCGGATCAACACTTAGAAACGAAAGGTACCTGCTGGGGACAGCACTTAGAAACGAAAAAAGTACCTGGCGCCAAAAGAAAATTTCCAAAACCGTTTCTAAGTGTATGTCCGTCACTATAGATGCGGATTTGGAGGACTGTGCTGTCTCCTTAAAGCTCGCCAGCTTGGGCCCCATGGGTGAATTGTGGTTAAGCTGGGCAAATTCAACCAGCTCACCTGGGACTATCTTGTTTTAACTCCGAAATGGTTTTCGTTGTTGGATTCCCTTTGAAACCCGATCTGTTTTCAGAACCTTAGAGCCTGTTCTTTGTGTGCCTGGGCAATTTCGCTGGGGGGGGGGGGGCAGCCTCAAAAAAAAGACACACCCACCTGCGAAGGGGTGCCCATGAAGAAGTTTTCATGAATCATTCATTTCCAGTCGGGAATTGCTGCATTTAGAGTTTGAATGGATGCTTGACTTGAGACTCCCTTGTTTGTCAACATCTAGGGACCGGGACCCGCTATTTTGTCTAGAACCCACTCTATGCGGTGTTTTAAGGGATATCCTACCATCCCTGGTGTCCTTTTTGTATCATCCCTGTCTTTTCGGGGTTTTGACAAATGTACGACTGAACCTCCAGGCGCTTTTTTTTGAAGGGCCCCATTTTGGCCATCGCGGAACCACCCCCCACCCGGAACCACCACATCAAGCCAATCCAAACCGAAATTCCAGGAACAGCTCGCTTGAAGGACCATATCCAGAGGCCCAAACCTAACCTTCCATTTGCTTACGAATATGTGTTGTTGGAATGCACCCCGGCCGGAAATACGTCTTTCTCAGTTGCCCAAAGCTGACCTTTTGGTTTTCCTAGGTCTAGGTTTGTACCCATATTTAGTATTTGGGATCACCTTTCATTTCCAGGCCTGGCAACTGAGTTTTCGTGTTGCAGGGGACTTGGCAAATGGAGCCAACCCAAGCTCTCCAAAGCCAGCCCCCGCCCATACGGTGGATGGCCGAAATCCTGCACCACGTCAAAACCATGGTTGAAACCATGGTTTGTTTTGCAGGGGAGTCATCATTCTGTGCTTTGTCCGGTGATGCGAAATGGATTTCGTCCACAATAGTATACAGTTCATTATTGGGGTGGGGGCCCCTCCCAAAGTGATTTGATTCCCCACGAATCCCAGAAACCCCCCCAGCGGTAAGCGCCCGGGGCGCTTCTTCCCGGGCGCTTCTTCCCCTAAGGCTCGGAGGACGTGCTGCAGGCCCTGGAGGCGGAGGACATCCCCGAGAGCTTTCGGAAGAACGCCCGAGGTCTCGGCGTTTTTGGTTTTCGGTTTTGGGGGGAAAGGAGTCTAGGTCCAGCTGGGTGCCCTTTTTAAGCCCTTTTTTGGTTGGGAGGGTTCCGAACCCTACTAAAATAGACGTCCAGAAAAAGTACCAACTTATTCTACCTCTCAATTCTGGAGGACCTAGGAGTGCTCGCTGGCGCGATCGGTGCGCGAGAGAGGGGAAGGAGAAATGGTTTATCCCGAGAGAAACGACCAACTGGTGGTTGTTCCTTCTAAGGGGTTCCCAACACGGTTCATTCCATTTCTCATTCCCTATCGCACCTGCAAGTGGTAGGTGCAGTGGTGGCAGGTGTTGGAAGTGGTGTTAGCAGGCGTTGGGATGTATCCTTGTAGCTTTGCCTTCCTCATTCTCAGTGACCCTTCAAACTCCGGCAAACATGCACGGTTTCTGAAGAGCACGGTGGGTAAAGAGGTCCTGGACTTTATCCATTTTGGATTTGGACCGGCCAATCGGGCATAGGTGTCCTTCTCGGTTGGTTTGCTGGAAAATATAAATATGGCGATTCCTGGTTGGCCTGGTTGATTGTTAACCATAATCTACCAGGGCCATTTTTCAAAAAAATGGATGCGGGTGTTTCTCAAAATTAGATTCGGATCCCATCCACGATATCGGTTGGCTTCCTTTGCTTTCGCTTTCCCATCCCAAAATAAATCCCCCCCTATGTTGAGATAGACTCCTGCATCCTTCAAAGAACCCTGTCCATAAACTTAAACCCGGAACAACCTTTCATAGTGGGGCTGATCGCTTTCAGGTCACAGTACCAGTCCTGCAAGGGCGCGAAACCAGGCGAAATGTGAAATACAGAGAAGAATTGAAGCGTAGACCTGTTTACTTCCCCAGAATTAGTGCCCCTTTTTACTTTTTTGCTTTTTGGAGTTCCGTTTGTTTTCCAACAGGCAAAGATATGTTTTTTTGCTGGGGTCCTAATTCCAGACAAGTTTAAAGTCAAACCGTCGGCAGTTTAAGCACCCGTTTTTTTTGGCGACCGTCAATGAGTTGGAGATGTTTTTTTTTTCCTAGCCCTGGTCCCCCCTTGGTAGGTTGGTTGGTTGGTTGGTTGGTTGGTGGGCTGGCTGGCTGGCTGGTTGTGGCCGCATCCCCGGCATCACCAACATCACTTGGACCTGGGGTTGCCTATTGGCTCTGATGGGGTGGCAGTTGGGAGTTGCTGGGGGGCTGGTTTAAGTTAGGGGGGTTTTGGCTGGCTCAGATCTTCATGAGGGTGGGTCTTGGGGTCATCCAGGCTGCTGAACCCACTCAAAGTCAACCCTAAACCCGCCCAACAACTTTGCTTCGCCTAAATCAACCCCAAACCACCCCAAGACCCACCCTCATGAGGATCTGAGCCAGCCAAAACCCCCCTAACTTAAACCAGCCCCCAGCAACTCCCAACTGCCACCCCATCAGAGCCAATAGGCAACCCCAGGTCCAAGTGATGTTGGTGATGCCGGGGATGCGGCCAGCCACCAACCAACCAACCAACCAACCAACCAACCAATCACAGCCAGGGTTAGGAAAAAACCAGGGTTAGTTAACAAAACACACACCTCCGCCTCAATGAGTTCCTTGCATACCGGGAGTCCCGTGTGTTAAAGAGCTTGACTCTGGTGCAGATCGAGGTCCAGGTCGGGCTTCAGAACAGCCAGGTTGGGGCTGCAACTGTTGAGGGCAAGCCTTTTTCCTGGCGGTGTTGAAGTAAAACCAATAAGAAAAACCATCATTCTGGTGGTCCAAATCCTAAAAGTCAGCACACACCCGGTTGTGACTCCAACTAATCAAACGGCACCAGGCCTTGGGCCCCTTCTTCGGGTCTATCAGCAAAGACTTGATTATGCGAATGACCTGTCCGGTCGGCACTGCTTCTTTTTCCGCAATGCCTTGATCTTAAAGCGGCTTCAATGTCATGTACTCTTCTCTGTATGGTTTCAAACCAAAAATGCACTCATGATTGTGCGTGTCATCCAGGTGCAATGGGCTCTTTACACAAACCCGCACTCCTCCCTTTTGCACTGGGAGTGCAGAGCAAAAGCTCCAAAAATCACGACGGGTCCCGTCGCTATTTCCCCCCTCCCAGCATCCGAACTGCTTGTTCATGATGCTCAGCTCAAGCCGCTCGTCACGTCATCCCGCGGGGCAATCTGCCCTCATCTTGCATCCTTTCGAAGTTGTCACGGGTCACCCCGCCTTGGCAGAATCTGCACGGCTGCATGGGGCTCAGCGGCTCTCGGCCAATGCCCACACAACGAGCACTGCCATGTAGGAAACCATCTTCCCCCCGATAGGACCGCGCGCCACGGGCCCTCTGTCGATCTCCCGGCCAGCAGTGTGGGCATGGCAGCACCGCCCTTAATCCACGAAGAGTGGCGTTCCGGAGCCCGTAGCAGTTGCGTCGCCAATGGATTCGATCACCCATCGACGTGATGTGGTAGACCTCCACTGCCTCCGGTTCCGGCTGCAGCTCACGCCAACGGATCTGCTCCATGACCATGAGCTCTTCTCGCCACCTTGCATTCAATATCTCGTCCTCCGTCTGCGGCCCAACCGGCCGTCCAGGAGCTTGCTCGGCTGTGGGTTGCTCCTCAGCCTGACTCGCGCTCCCGCTATTCCGCCTCCTCAACTGGCTTGGCCTCGAGGAAGTCCCAACTGAAGCTCCCAAAGGCCTTGCCTCCGTGGCTGCTTGCGTCCACCTCGGCACCTCGATGACTTCACTGTCATCTTCTGTCTGAGTGGCTTGCTCACTCTGACGGGTGAGGAACAGCCTCCTCACTCTCGAGCACGGGCCTTCCAGCAAAGTGCCGATTCCAGCCCCCAGCTCCTTCATCAGCCGGTACAGCACCACAGACACCACCGCAATGATGCAGACCAGCACTGTCACGTCCATGGAGTCCTCTGCTTGGCCCTTCTCCTTTTCGGCTTTACATGCCGTGATCTGGATCAGCGCCACCAGCAGCTTGACCACCTTCTCCCTCTGCAGGTTCATCTTGATGGAGGCCACCTTGACATTCTCCACCTCCTTTTCTGGCTGCAGGTTCCACAGCTCGCACAGCTCTCTGATGCGCGATGGCCCCAGCGGCTTCGTGCCAAGGTCCGCCAACATCTGCTGACCTGGGCAATGCCTCATCAGCCATTCTCCTTCTCGCACGCGCCACCTGAGATGAAAGGCCCTCAGCCTCAGGTGCCTCGTTCTCCATGCACCTGCTGTGTCCGTTGCGATGGACACCGCTGCCGCGTTGTCACACAACAGCATCTTCGGAAAGTCCTCGATGCCGATGGCGTTGCCGATCAAGGCCTCCACCGAGTCTCCAAGAACCACCGCATCGATCGCCTCGATCAGCTCGCTCTCAGCAGTCGATAGGGCTGGGAACGCTTGCTTCCCCGCTTTCCAGGCGACCACCGTACCGTTCCAACACACCACCGAGCATCCTTGGCTTCGTGCTCCTGATGGTGCGAAGGATGCATCCGAGTAGGCTTGAAGTCCGCCAGGTCCATGCCCAGACCAATGTTGCCCGGAATCCTTCGTGATCCGGATGCCCCACCCCTTCGTCTCGCGGAGGTACCCAAGCATGTAGCCCGAGGCGCGAATCACCCATTTGGGGTTCTTCGCTGACATACTACAAAGCCTGCTCATGCCGAAGAGAAGGTCCGGCCTTGTCCGGGTCATCAGCCACAGCAGCTCCCCCGCTATGCGTTGAGCTCGGGTGACATCCTCCTGGCTGTAGTCCCCGGGAACCAGTTCCGCCTCATCGGACATCTCTTTGGTCATTGGTGACCTTGCTCGCACAATCTCATCTTGGTGCCGCTCCAGGACCTCCTCGACATAGTCCTTTTGATGAATGAAGACATTGTCGCCCTCTTTCTTGATGTTCATTCCCAAGAAGCGCACCTGATTGTGCTCCGTGAGCTCCTCCGGGGTGCTCGTCTCCCACTTCTCCCCGATGACCTTCTCGAACGCCTTTCTCACAGCCGTCTCCGCCGTGGTCAAGATGTCATCCACGTAGATCGAGACCAGCCCCACCAGCTTCTCACTCGCCTCCGTCGGCTTCAGCATCCGCCAGAGGTTCGGTTCCGCCACGCACTGCTCCAGGTGGTAGACGAGTCCGTCCATCTCCCATTCCAGGACCTGCAGCTCGCGGTCTCGATGATCTGACCATCGTCTTGGGCTTTGACGTAGCCCATACATGGCTTTGTCAATGAGCCAAAGTTCTCCAGGCTCTGCCCACCCCAAGCGAACCATCACCGCCGGTGGCCGCATCGCCACCACCTCCTCCGGCTCCTCCACCGTATGTAGATCGGCGTTAAGGAAGGCAGCCTTGATGTCCAAGGCCGACGTGGTCCACATGTGCTCCGCGCCCACCTTAAGCTGCAGGCGAATCGCCGTGGTGTCTGTGCCACCCGCGTACGTGTCACCCTCCACCGCCGCATTGGCGTCGATGTAGTTGCCGCACACCACCAGCCGAGTCTTCTTTCTGGCCGACCCAGCCTTCACACTGAAGATAGCCTTTCCTGGGACCACCGTCATCTTGTTCCCCTTCTTCTCCATCATGCTGCGCGCCTCCTTCGGGGAAAGCCTTCGCAGGGCCTTCTTCTCCGTCATGAGCGCCTCAATCTCGGTCCGGATGGAGTCCGCCCATTTCTCCTTGTCCCTGATGACCTCGTTTGGCGAAATCATCTTCGTGTGTAGGACCTTTTCCGCCTCTTCATGGTCCGGCACCAGGTGCTTCAGCGCCTCCTCCTCCTGGCGAAGCTTCCGCACCATCCTCATTGAGGTCTGTGACGCCTCTTCATCTTCCTCCAGTAGCATCTCCTCCTCTTCGACGATGATCTGCCGCAGGTGCTTCAGACGAAGAGCAACTTCATCACCACCTCCATCATCTAACAGCTTCGCCTCGCTTGTCTTGAGACGAATCCGCCGTCTCGCTCTCAAAGCTTCCTCAAAGAGAGCATCTCCTTCCGG